TTTTCACTACCACTTTCTGCTACTCCAGTTTCCTGCGTCTGTAACACGTGAAAACGGTTGAGGTACGTATTATGCTCGTATCTCCATGATAATGACAATAATAAATGTATAAATATCAACAATGTGTGTGTATTTATTTCCAACCCCCACCTGACCTACCACCCTCCATAAGTCTTGACTGCGTGTCTTCGTACCTCAATGCATGCTATATCATTTACACACGCCAATGTCATCGCGGCCGTATTTTACAATTGTACGAGGTTTCAAATTCATATTATTTATATTAATTCATATTTATCCAAATTTCGAACCAAATACATTTTTACGGTTTTAATTCTGCGTTATATGAATGATGCGATCGCTCTGTGTTATTCAAGAGCCCCATTCGACGGCAATCGGTAAAGCTAAAACGCATGCATGACTACAGATACACAATTCGTATTGAACAAGCATTACTACATTGTGTAACTGTATAATTTTGGCATATTTCGTCAATGCATACCCGAAATATATGATGAAACACTGTGACATTTTCACATAAGAAATGGACGTCGGAAATTCAAATTTGTGACTACATTGACCCGCAAATTAAACAAGTCCTATTTCCGATGAGTTCCAATAACAACTTCTTTCAAGTTCACGTAACTGGTTCATTTAATAATATATATTTATCCTGAATACTGACCTTTATCATTATTGATTATTAGTTTTCATAGAGATACATATTAAGACCATGAATGTATGCAGAATTACAACATTGATTGATATTTTTCAAGGTTATAGGTTTCATATTCTTTTACAAAACGCCCTGGCGTGTGGGTGGCACTGTATCTAGCCATCTAGTAGTCTACGTCATTTCTGTGCAGGAGAGGAGCCCTGGGATAAAGCGTATTAAATATATATTTCCTATTATTGACATACTCGATGTTGCGATGAGTAATATTGGGATGGTTTTATATTCTAAGTGAAATCTTATTTTCTTGACACGATTGTGACGTTTGTTTGTGAATGTTGTCGAAATTTAGATATTTTGGGTTAGTTCAATTGCATCTCTTAAAAAGGATGGAAATAAACATCACCACATAAATTTATTATCATACATTCAATGCGCCTCTATAATTTGGACAGAAATTGTGGTTTATTAAAATTTTGCAAGTTTCTGCATTTATTTGGCTTCAGATGCCCTCGTTTCTTTCATTGTGTTGATTGTAATGTATTTGCGAATTTTTGTTTACCTAGGCAGATCGTGACCTCAACATACTATACTTTTCGAGTTTTTGTGATTTATTTGGCCGTTTCTTTTTTACTGTTTTATTGTTTGAATTCATGTCCATTGTGAGCTGTATTGACGAATTACTGCTTACCGAAGCAGAGGTCATGACCCCCCTTGAATGATTAAGTCAGCAATTTCTATTATTTGATCAGAATTGCTTACACCGTCATTTCGTCGTATTTACTGCAATAAACACTACGTCATTGCGGCTATAAATATGGGCCGTTTTCCCACAACACTCAGACATCTTCTGACCACCAATCATGATTCGTCTCCTCCTTTTTTCAGTGTGTTACATTTGTAGAAATGGCAGACTGGAAATGGGTGTTGTCTCATATTCCGGATAATCCATCAAAATGTACCGCTTACTTCGTAAACTCGTAATGTTTCGCCATTACGAACTCACTACCGGTTCTAGGGGCGAATAACTCTATAGCGACCTCGCTATCACTGCTCGGCAGTGCTTTGAGGATGGGTATTCGATCCCGGGGGCCACCGCGCTAGACAAGTGATAGTTACAAGGATATCCAGTATATACACCTTGGCTATCTTGTATATCGTGGTGGATTTCGGGACATAAACACGTGACGCAGTGAAGTTTTGAAGACGTATCGGCGGTGTGTTCATATTAGTTGTACAATGTATTTAGTTGTAAGGGCATACGGGCTTCGTATTGCAGAATTGCTGTGTGCGACTTATTTATTTGTGTCTCTACCAAGCAACCCAGAATACGTCTTCTAGTAAATAGACACTACTTCGTAGTAATATGGTGTCTGTCAACTTGTGCTATAGTTTAAAGGGCGGCAGTCGTCGTGCCACGTCCTGTTCGATATGGGACTCATAGCGACGTATACAACGCGTGTGAAAATACATTGTTTATTTACATGAAATTCGACCACCGCGCTTTAATGGGACGTGAGGAGATTGACTGGATTAAGTGCGTTCATCAGTTGGATTTATCTGATGAATAACGTTCAAAACATCTTTCTATGAAAATCAACAATGTCTTTGTTTTTCATTTTATGTTTCACTCTCCCTTCATCTTACCACATTCTCTCATATCAGTACACTTTAATTAATTTCTGATTTCGCCGATACTGTAAACTTCACACCTTGCGGTGGTGCATCAAATTCGAAAATTTGTATTTGTTATGAACAAAAATAACTTTCAAAAACGGGGTTTTGCCGTCCATTGTGTCATTCATGTTGTACAGCTGCCGTCAGTACTGTTAAACAGGGCGCCATCGCAAGATGTTATCGCGCAACAATCAAGTTCAAATTCGCTTGATGGCTAAGTTTTTGTTATTGAACACGTGAGAGTAATATATACCTTGATTTGAAATATACGTCATATTACAAACGTAACAAACTTTTAGCGACATTATTAATGTTCAATTCCAGGCCGAGATTCTAGGCCGTCTCTCTAATTAACATGTAAATCGCAAGTATTTGTACGATGTCGCATATATCAGTGTGTCAAGCGACTTTTTTTTTTTTTAAATTAAGCAAATGAAAAAGTAATACTAACATTTATTTCAATTTTTC